ATCTTTATTATTACAAAATGAGATCTCATCTAATCATACATCATTTGAAAGGCCGTCAGGAGTACTCAAACTTTATATAAATACCTTTGGTCCGAAATCACTTTTTGTTTGAATATGTATTAATTTTTGGCAAGCCTCAAAACTTATGAAACACCCTGTATACAGAGGTATTATAGATATTTACTGTATATATGTCGCTTGTCTAGTTATGTGCTTCTTTTTCGAGCAAAGTAGCAATATATAAACTGTGTCCTTGGACAAGAAAAAGCAAAACTGTCATTTCTATCTGCTATCTTTTTTGGGACTTCAAAGATAGAAATTCTTTATAAAAGTGTTGCAAAAACTTCGAAGACACTAGAGAAAATCTGAGTTCGTGGTCAATTAATGAAAAGTCACGAAAATTCAGAAATAGTCTGGAGTTGTGCGAAGTTATATAAGACATGATGAAATCGTTAGAAGTACAACAGAATTGTGCAAAATCCATAAATATCCAGAAAAAGATTTCAGATTATGAAAACTTCAAAAAATCTGTTGTTTTCTCCTTACATAAGGGTATCGAATTCTATATGTCAAAATCAAAAATAAAATATTCATATCAATTGGAGTAAAACTTTTGTCGTACATTAATAATTCAATCAATAGTTTTTCTTTTAATTACCTTCATTGTTCTGTAAAGCAAATTCATATAAAATGCTAGTATTCAATGTTTCTTCCGTTACGAAAATCGTAATTATCTTTTGATCCATTGTACAAAGATCATCAATACATTTACCATATTCATCAAAGAAACAAAGAATAATATCTGATGATAAATTTTTGAGTTGTTTAACATCAAGAAAATGATGAATAATAGTTGATATATTACACTTTGATGTGATTAAATATTTAGATATTTGTGTTCGAAATTGAAATTGTATTTGAATTAAGTTTTGTTTTTCAATAATATGATACTCTAAAGGTGATTGATATGCTGGACAATGATTATTCTTTGTAAGATCGACAAACATTCCATTTTTGTCAACAACAACAAATAAATTATGATCATATTTTTTATCAATAAATATTTTTTTTAATTGTTCGAAAAAATTTTCACTTTTCCAAAAATATGTTTTCGATTCTCCATTTGGATGAATAATAGTAAATTTTTGTGCTTTATTTACAATAATTGATTCTATTGATGATTCTGTTCGATATTTATGTATTTGTTGAATAAATACTGATGATAAACATGGAATTGATTTTATATTTATTGCCATCAAGGATTTATATTCAATATTTTTATTTGAATCAATTTTAGATTTCATTTGCTGTTGATCTTGTGATTGATCTAAATCAAGTAAATTATTGTCATATGTTAAACCAGTTGTTAATTCTTCTGTATCATCTATTATAGGAAGTTTCCAATCATTTAATTCATTAAGATTTTGTTTTCTTTCGAATATTTGTTCATCATATTGAGGGTTTAAATATTGATGAAAACGATTTTCTTGTTTATCTTGTTGTTCATATGAATTAAAATTTTCATCCCATAATTTCATTTGTTGTTCTTCGATATTAAATATTTGTTCTTGAAGATTTGATCTTGTACGAATTAAATGAATATAAAGATCAACATAATTTTCACATTTTATTCTATATGGTATATATGAAAGAATTGAATTATCGATTGCTAAATGTTGACATGTTTCAACTAATGATTGTCCAGATTGTTGTAGAAGAATATCTTCAATTGTTTTTAATTCATTAAGAAATTCTGTGATTGTTTGAATTATTTGTTGAATTTTCTCAATATCATTGTTATAATCAATGATGAATAAGTTTTCATTAAATTTTTGAATGAGTTCATTATTTAATTGAGTATCAATTGGAATTCGAAGTAAAGATGGAATGTCTGTAAACAAATGTTGAAATCCACTGATAGATTCTGCATAGAGTTTAATTATATGATCAATATGACATAATTGAAAATCTTTTATTTCATATTGTTCTAATTGTTGAAGAATATCATGGTTGTTGTGATCAGTTATTTTAACAAATTCAAAGAGATAAATTGATGATAAATCATTTGAATGATTATTTAATGTTAATGCTATTTGTCTTAAAAGATTATGACCATGATAAAGTTTGTCTAATAAAACATTTTTCAAATGATTATTCCATTCATTTTCAAGTTGTTCATCACTTAGTCGAATCAAATATTTTTCATCGAGATCTAAATGTTCAACATTTGTTGTTGTTTGTTCTTTTTTTGTGTGACATTGATATTTTTGAATAATATGATGATAATTTATACGACAATATAGAAGATATGTTCGAATAATCTGTGATTGAATATAGGTAAAATCAAATATTAATCGTGAGTCTGATGCAATGAAGTATTGTTCTTCATCAGTAGTAAGGCTTGCTTGACATAATTGTTCAATCCATAGACAATCTTTTTCATTCAAACTAATAACACCAGTATTATCATTTGCAATTTGTAAAATCGAGATATTCTTTGATGTCAATTCTTTGATCAAATTTTTCAAAGCACTAACAGTGTGATTCTGATTATTGTTCAATTCATTTTCCATCAAATCCAATAAACTATTATGAAAATCAACTAAGACACTAAAATAGACAAACAAAGAAATTTATTTTAAATAGTCATTTACGAATCAGACTAATGTCGACCTAAGACTTAATAGTATTCGATTACAAACGCATTAAATCTAGAATGCAAGTAGCTAGCGATCTACGGTATTCGTAAAAGAGTTGTTCTATGTGTATTCACATTAGACACCGATAAACTGATCACACAAGTTACGATCCTAAATTATTAGGGGCTTTTCGAAAGTATCTTTTGCCTATAACTAGATCTCAACAACATTAAGAAAACTCTGAAAGTGTTCGTGCCTAAAACTCTTGGTTATCTAGATATCAGAGCTAGACGAAATAGTCGAAGTGCTCGTACTCGAGAAAGTCCGTACTTACTCAGCTCTGTTAGGTATAATTTCAATTATGACTAGAAAAACAATTGTTTCTCTATTTATTTTAAATAATCATTCATTTATTATGCTAATAATACTATTTTGATCCTAACTAATCACTCGTTTATTTTCAAATGGATGTATTTTTCTCTCTCACACCCATTCAATACAGATGATATACAAATGAATGTCTACAGAGAAGTTCTGAAATGACTTTGCTTTATTTCTATGAAATGAAGAGAGACGTTGAACTTTTGATTTGATTTACTATTTATCGTGTCGGAGATTGTTACATATTCGTCACTTATATATAGACTATTTTCACTATTACAGTTTTGAAATGTCATAATTTAGTCGAGTTCATGATTTATATTATTTGTTTGACCCATTTTGATTCGTAAGTGATTAGAATAACATAATATAACTAGGAAAACTTTTCAAGTGTTATTATCATCATCGAGATCTATCTATAGTCAAGAGATAAAGTGAATTTCGATCACCAAAATGATTGACACTAAATATTATTTTATCAAGATTTTTCTTTTCTATGTAAGCATTAGACAACGAGAGAATACCAATGACTAAATCAGTAGCAAGGCGCTCCAAATTTATAGACCAGACTAACTAAACACTAGACTAAATAATGAATGATTTCATTGATGTCTAATTTAAGTACATATATATCGTGTAAAACTCAAGGTGTCTCATTCTCTTCATATAAAATTATTCGTTTAATACAAAGAGTTTTAGAATGATTTAGTAATATATATATATATATGTATGTTTTATAAATGAATTAACCTGATTATACGCATAATAATATCGCCTTCGTCATGATTATCATTTGTAACTAAATAATTCACTGATGTATCGAATGAAATAATTGAAAAACGTTGAGTTTCATCACATGCACCTGGACGAATAAGACCATCAGAAAATTGATGATATATATTAACAGCTTCAATTCCTTTCTCAATTATCAATTGATGAGTTTTATCTTCATTTTGATATTTTTGATAATGAGAAGTATTATAATGTTTTTGACCTCGATCATACAATTGTTTTAATGTTATTGTTAAAAATTCACTTCGTTCAATTAATTGTGTATAAGTTTGATGTAACAGTAGATAAAATTGACTAAGATCATATATTAATTTTGTTATTTTTAATAATTCAAAAGAATTAAGAACATGACGTAAAATTTTAAGAGATATTTGTGAATTTGTTAGACGATGTAATTCAGTTTTAAAATGTGTAAATTGAATAATAATTGGCATTTTATCAATAAAATTTTGAAGATTTATTTGTATTTGTGATTGTAAATTTAA